CATTCACAATGCCATCAACAAGCGAAAAGGAGAAAAAAAGTATAGTTACACATGTTTTTGCTTAAATGCTGAGCGAAAAACTTGCGTTCGGCATTTATCTAGGTTTTTATTAGACTGTTCACAGTCCCTATCTTTAAGTAAGCTGATCGTCGAGATCGAGCGCTCACCGTCACTATACCCATTAGTGGGAGAAGGAAACCGTCTCCCACCTCTTAAGTAGATGTTAAGTAGATGTGATAGTCATCATGAGGCTACCATGTAGATTTGGTTTAGATGTGGACAGTGAACAGTCGAGGTTTTTCTTGTTAAATAATTTTTGTTAGGCGCATTTGAAGACAATGTCATTTAACCTCCATTAGACCAATGAGCTCGCTGCTCGCTGTAGACGCAAATATTTAAGCTTGATATTTTAAAAACCAAACAAAAAAATATTTTCCTTCTCTGCCATTGGGGGCACGGCCAAATGTTGCAAAAACTTACAACTTACAATTTTATTTAATATTTTCTAAATTTTAAGTGAGTTGTAAGAGCAAACACTTTATATTGAAAAGGTTGATAACCTCTGTACGTGAACTGTTATTAATTGACAATAAACATCGGCAAAAAAATATTATGAAACATCGAATTGGCCATGATAATTCCTTCTCTACTGTAATTTGCCTTTGTTAGAACACCTAAAATAGTTATGTATCAGTGAAAGATCGATGAAGAACAGCTAATTTAAAATCTTTACAATCGCTCTTCTTGTTGTACAAAGCAGGCGTATCAGGGGTCAGAAGTTCAACGACTTTTTGATTAAGTGATTGAAGAAAAACGATGGACTTTTGGGAACGACGTTGGCTGTTTGCTATTTACATGGGTAAACCGGGCAGTTCACGGTTCGGGGCAAATGGTAAACAACATTCATTAGGACTTAAAAGTGGGACTTGTGGGCAAGTCTAAAATCCCCTTTTCTCGGGAGGGGAGCGAAACATACAAGCAAAGAAACAAAACAGACGAGAGGGAGACACTACTCTCAGCCCCCGCTCCTCTAATTTTTCTGTGCTTTACCTGGCTTTAGTTTGGAATTTACTCTATCTTTTTTTTCCAGAATTCGATTTTTCTTGGATTCATATTACGATTTCTCAAGTTCTTCATCACTGGTGAAAATTATTTCGTCGTTAAATCATGAAAACAAACTTGATAGTCTGTACCTCATCTACGACTTCACATAATGTGAGATTCCCATAACTTGGCTCTTTCTACGTTATAATTTGGGGAGTGGGTCGATTTTTGCTTATCGCGGGGATGGGGGAGGGGGGTGCGTCGGGGGTTTGACGAGGGGGTCGTTAATACAGAAGATGAAGTCCCCAGATTTTAGTTCTCCATAAGAACCAGGCCCCGGTTGTTCAAACGTTGGATCGCGCTATTCACCGGACTGAAATCACTATCCAGCGGATACTTTTACGCTGGATAGTGATTTATCTGGTGGATAGCGCTATCCAACGTTTGAACAACCTGGGCCAGAGGTTTTATTTCTGCTACCCTGAACGCCTTGAAAAGGAACAGATCGCTGAGTAAAGGGTTGATGGTAAGTGTCTGTTGTAAGGATTTTACCGCACCAAATTTCCCTTTCGTAAACGTCGCTGCCATTTTTAAGACACTTTTTGAAAAATTTTTGACCTGTTATTGAGTGTGGTTTCTATTAAAAAGAAAGAAGATCGCAACCCAGTGTCAAACCCGCACCTTTCGTAACCTAATCTCTCGTGCGTATCTTTACACTACTATACCGACCCGCCAGAATTCCGAAAAAATTTAAGTGCATAAACTAGCAAAATGTCTTTCTTAACTGATACCTTGAGTTTGCGTTGGACGACATCCGGGGAAACGACGACTCCGAAGGGTAATCTCATGAATCGGTACCTCCCGGAAGGGGTATTAAAGGGGCACAGTAGGCTGGATGAGTAATCTAATTCCACGTGCCAGTACCCTTTCTTTGTATCTACAACGGAGAAATTGTTCTTCCCATGGAGCAGAGGTAGCTTCATTGATGATCCTGGTACTGATGTCCTGGTAGTATTCTCGATGTAAGTTATTGTTTAGATCCCTTGGATCGAGAGACAGCCTTACTTTCTACTCTCCATCAGGGGTTTCTTTGATCTTGCTCACGATAGAATTGACGCAGTCAGTCGGTTGGGGGTGATGACGTCATCAGCTATCACTTCGTTAAGTTCAGCCTTTACAAGAGAACTATGGACTGGGACCGTACGTGGGCTTGAACGACTGCAAAGGAGTTGTCAATATCAGCTTCATGTGGTAGTTCTCCCCTTACTACACGCAAAACCTAAGCAGGCGGGCGGCGAAGCCGCTTGCCGCGAGAAACGAGGGCGTCTCGATCCCTATATAATAACATCGAATCGTGGTTTTCAATCGTACTGGATGAGATCAATAACTAGACGGATTTTAAGAGAAAAGGCGGACTGCAAGCAGTCTAAATGTATACTCAAAGCATAGAATTGTTGATAAGTTCGCTGAAAATAAATTTGGCCTTCGTTTTCTCGGCTTCTATTTAACGAAAATGCTTCATTTTTGGAATTTGAGTTCAGGTTAAGAGTACTTTTCAAAAAACAGTCCGGGCCACAATCAGATCTGGATATGTAATTTCCTGCAATTTGATTGGCTCAGAGCTCAACCAAAACATTGACTTGACCACGAAAGGACTAAGCTCGACAGAAATGTCGAACAGGGAAACTTCGAAGCAAATAGCTGTCGAGTACTTTGGGTGTAATGTACCTTGAAGAAAAGTAACAGCAATACGGAGCCGATTAATCGAGATTGTTTTATACGTCATAGCGTTCGATTTACGAATATCGAGATGTTAATGATCGAGAACGCTTTCTGTAAACACCCGTGGATTTCTGATAATATTTCAAGAGACCAGAAACAACTCGACGTCTCCGATCGAATTGGAAGAATAGGGAATTTGAGCACCGCGATACATTTTTAGTGGTAAGGTTTTAAGAAGTCTTGTTTGGAGTAATTTCTGCGAGCACAGCTTCGACCTGGAGAAGTCTGTTTTATTCTACTTTGGGCGGACGCGCTAAAATCTAATTTCGATCGAAGGATTGCATTGATAATGATAATCTTAATGCTAATTATTTCTGCTGTATATAAATTTCCAGTATATTAAATCGTCACACATGCTGGAAATATGCAAAGGTCAAAGAAATAAATAAAATTTGTAGAAACTGCACTCGCGGAGAGTCGTAAGCACTCATTAACGAACTTCTGTCTTTGCTTATTGCAAATTGCAAAACCCCATTGCCGATGAAAATAATGCAAGTGGACGTATTCGTGTTCTAATAGCTGTTAAATAGTCACTGAGAGGACGTCAACATAATTTGACAATTGTATTTTGAAAAACAGCTTTGATAAATGAAACAGATGTGCAGACTTTACTATTGTTTGTGTCAAAATATTTAATAGAATGGTTTTTCACAAGACAAGAAAATATTATATATATTTATTGCTGCGGAGCGACCGAAGAGAGCGAGCAGCAACATAATCAGGATTTAAAGGAAATATAGTATATAGATTTAGCCAGGACTAAAAGCGAAGCTCCTGTTAATAAATTCATAATTTAAATCAAACAATAAACTTGCAATCCACAGATCAGGGCACATTTATGTGACTTTTGAGGCAAAGGCTAAGTGATTTTAGAGAAATATAATTTGACAGTCCAGAAGTGAAACAAACTTTACATTGAGTTAGTAGTCTTATTTGTACACCCAAAAATAGCAATCGTGTTCGATCACAGTAGATTAGGCTATAGCAGGCTACATTCGAAACATCAATCAAACCAGGTATGCTTTGTTTTCGTGCGTCACAGATCTGGTCTCATCTGCTTTGTGGTCGCAGATTACAAATGCTTTGGACTGATATTTATTTGAATCGTGTTTATGCGAAGGTTTATGAGATCAGAGTCTTCAAAGTATAATTGGAGATCGAGCTGCCCCGGGGGGGGGGGGCACTTGGGTATTTTTTGGGTGGGTATGTGCTGCCCGGGACTCCGAATTGACACCCCGTTCTAAAAAAAATTTCTCCTAAAATTGATACCCCTTTCTAGAAATGGGCCAATTTTTTATACCCCGTTCTAGAATTTGCCCTAAAACTGATACCCCGTTCTAGGAATGGGCCAATTTTTTTATGCTCCGTTCTAGGGTGCAACAAGAGTACAACAGTC